TTATTACAATAAAAATAAATTTTCTAGAACAATCTACTAGAAATATTAAAATTTAAAGATTATTCGGTAAATATATATTATATTTACGATAATAAACCGATATCACGTTCATTTTTTGCTCCATATCGTGACTTACAATATCTTAATGCACAACCGGGCATATTTTCTTTAAAAATATTTTTTTAACTATATGAAACGAATGCGTCTTGACTTTTTGATGATGTCACTAAGACTAAATGACAAAAATCGAAGATATATTCTATAGGACATAAGTTACAGACGGCAATTTTGCTGCTGATGTCCGGTCTATTACTACTACTACTTAAATGTCTTTGTTTAACATTTAAGTTTTACGTGGAAGGGCCATGCTGCAGCTATACTACTTGTATAGTTGTAGCACGAATGGGTCTCCTAGACCGGGTAAGTACCACGCTCTCACAGAATACCAGCGTAAAATAGCAGCTTAATGCTGGTGTGTTTCGTATGGTGAGTGTAGAGAACCGTAGACCGTTTTTAGTGGAAAAGAGTCATTCGATCTTAGTTTTCGTGGCTGACAACGCATCTGCATTTTGATTTGCAAACGAGGATAGAGTCTATGGGCCACAGCAATTACTTACCATCAGGTGGACTGTGTGCTCGCTTGTCACCCTTATCCTATAAAAAATATAGTTTAAAGACTATATTGAATACTTATCTGCTAGAGTACGAAAGTTAATTTACATTTTAAAGACCTTTGACATTCCGCCGACACGTACTCGTATGTTATGAAAATGATTTACTATGGCCTATACCAATCGGTACTAGGTTATTGTATATATATATACGTGCTTTACTAAAGGTGTGTTGATTTAAACCTCGCTTATATTCTACAGAACTACTTTATGAGCATTGCCAAGTGTTGACTGTATGGCAACTTTTTATATTTTGTACAGCTCTTAAACAGCACTCCTTAAATAAATATAATTAGAACGCTGCACGACGTAATCTTGTCGCCAAATCGATTGCTCTTAATACGTAATAGGTCGGGGAAAATGTTTCTTGGTATTTTATATACAAAATCAAAACATATTTTTTCAAAATTTATTTACATTTAATTATATATATACAACAAAATGACGTGTATTTATTTACAAATATGATATTTATTTGAAAAAACACCCACCATTAACTAACACCGCCTATTAACCAACATAATCATATATAATAGAAAATTACCATCTAAAGCCAGAAAAATACTTAACCTTCTTTTTAAGTTCTATAATTAGATCAAAAGTAGTCTTTAAGTTGGGTTACTAACTACATATAAAATTTAATGGAAATCGGTTCAGTAGTTTTTAAGTGAATCGATAACACACAGACAGACAAACAGACAAAAATTCTAAAAACCACTAATTTGGTTTCAGTACCCTTTGTGTCATTTCGTTCGATAAATTGTTGCCATCTTATAGGTACGTAGTTACCCGTTGCTGTAGAAATCTGCAGCTGCTGAAAGAAAGTAGTTTTGACAGTCCTTTCTTGTTGTTAACCTAACACTACCTTAAGAATTCATAAGAGACCGAAACAGGTGGAAATCTGAGAGTACAAGCTCAGGCCTATAGGGTGGATGCAATAACACTTCCCAACCAAGCTCTCTCAATTTTTGCTGCGAGGCCAAATATGTGTGTGGTCTGGCGTTATCATGATGAAAGACCACTCCTTTTCTGTTGATCGATTCCGGTCGTTTTTTCTCAATTTCTTCCTTGAGTCTAATTAGTTGTTGGCAGTAGATCCGAATCGATAGTTTTGCCCGGCAGTAAAAGCTCATAATAAACTATAGCCTTCCAGTGCCACCATATACACAGCATCACCTTATTGCGTGTTAATCAGTGTTTCACTACAGTGTAAAACTTGACTACTCTTTCAACATGATCTTTTTTGCACGTTCTTGTCGTAGGTGATCCACTTTTCATCATCATTGATCAATCTTTTCAAAAATGGTTCGGTTTCATTACGTTTCAATAGAGAATCGCAAATGAGTACACAATTCATTAGGTTTCTTTCTGTGAGCTCGTGTGGTACCCAAATATCGAGCTTTTTTGTATAGCCAAACTTTTTCAAACGGTTCAAAACTGTTTTGTGGTCAATATACAATTCATCGGCTATGTTGTTGCTAGATACTAATATGACGATCTCGCTCCACTTTTTTAAAAATGGCATCGACTTTATCCGTATGAGAGCGACCCGAGCTAACTGCATCTTTGACATCAAAATTCCTGGACTGAAAATATTTAAACCATCTTTGTTCTACTCTTACTGACAATGTTCCATAAATGTCACAAATTTTTGATATTTCCTCAATTTTATACAAACAAAATACGAAGAAACTTTTCCCCGCCCTTATTATACACTAACTCCTAACACATACATAATATGTTAAAGCAAAATATTATTTTGCTTTAACCCTTTTATTTACGTTCTTTTAAATTTGATTCTACTTTATAAATTAGTTAAATGTCAAAAAATTTTAATAAAATTTTAAGGTAAGGTCATGTTTTTTATATTATCTGTGTCCAGCATACATTCCCAGGCATTGCAGCCTCTTTTTTGTCTAGTCCTTTATGGGCGCGCACACTACATCTCAACAAAGTTTCATCATAATGGGATGGATGGTTTAGGAACGCTTAGAAGACGTATAAACAACAAATATACAAATATTTTAGACTAATGCTCCAAAATAGAATTATTAAACTTTATGAAAAAAAAGAAAACCGACTACAAAAACAAAAGCCCTTACCCATTTATATAAACTAAAGAATATCGCTAGTTCAAGGTAACAACTAGAATGTCGTCTATAGGATCACATTAAAAACTTCAACCCTAATTTTACACCCTAAAGTGACATTTTTTCTTAAAATTTATGTGGGACCATCCTTGAAGTATAAAATTAGTAAAGAAAATAATCATTAAAATCGGTTCAGCCGTTTCCGATAAATCGGTGAAAGTAGTACATAACCAGCGAAGTGCCAGTCGCACTCGCACATGAAGGGTTCCGTACCATCGTTTTTTCTACGTGGCAGAGCCATGCTGCAGCTATATTATGGTTGTAGCACGAATGGGTCGGCTCGACCGGGGAAGGACCACGCTCTCACAGAAAACCAGCGTAAAATAGCAGCTTAACGCTACTGTGTTTCGTATGGTGAGTGTAGAGAACCGGAGAGCCTTTTTACTGGCAAAGTGGCATTCCATCTTAGTCCTTACGGGTGACAACGCATCTGCATCTTGAGTCTTTATTGAGGATAGATGTAGATGTCTATGGGTCACAGTAACCACTTACCATCAGGTAGACTGTGTGCTCGTTTGTCACCCGATCCTATAAAAAAAATCGTAATACACGTTTCTAGTACAACTTCTAGTAGCCACTTTTTAATTTTTAATTTATTTTAATTTTTATTATTTTTTGTTATAGCGGCAACAGAAGTACACATTCTATGAAAATTCCAACAGTCTATCTATTACGGATCATGAGTTACAGCCCGCTGACAGACAGGCGGACGGACGCACAGACGGACGGATGGACAGACTTATTAATAGGGTCCCGTTGGATACGCTTTTGGTACGGAATACTATAAATGAAATATACGCTGTGAATACAGTAATTCTTGCATTTGGAACTCGGTTAAAAAGAATACTAGGTAGAGGTATTTCTAATTATTCATAACCTTAACCGATAAAGGATAAATTTAGGCGACTCTTAAATCTTTAGCAAGTATATTAATAGTATAGTATATTAACTTTGCAAGTATATTAATCCGGGGCTAAGTATTTTAAATTTTAAATCACATCGAGAATCTATCACATCTAAATATTTAACACCTGGGTAGAGAGATTTGTAAGCAGAGAGCCGATATCTTAACAATGGTAACGCTGTTTAACCAGTCTTTGTAACTTGGGTTCAGGAGTTTTGGTTGAATTTTCCGATAGCCGAAACATATGCAGTTAATGTATAGGTATAGGATGTACAAATTACCTCTTTGGTCTAATGGTCCTCGGTTTGAATCCGGGTCGGACTTAAATCAGTTATTGGATTTTCTACCAATAAATTCTCAGCAGCAGGTTGAAGTCAGCAAGTTAGTGATAATTCACCCATATAGGTACCTCAGAAAGCACATAAAGCAAATTATAAATAATAAATTGGTCTGACGTAAATTGGTCTTGTTTGACTTGCTTTGCCATCCCGTTGGACTAAGAGAGTGAAGTAATCGAGAGAGCACCTGTATTAGTACACTCACTCGTGCACTGTAATCCTATCCTGGGCAAATGACTAGTCTCCGTTGAGACTGGCCGCCATGACGGAAATTCAGTCTGGAGGACATTACTATTATTATATAAAAAGGTACACTGCGTTGAGGTTAAGTTATTATTTGGAAGAAAAGTCTGCAAATTGTTCTTTCTCAGTTTCATCAAGCAAGAAATAAAAAACTTTAATGGGTTTATCTGATATAGAGCATGTTCGCTGACCTTTCTTTACTTTCCTTATTTTTGGAAATGCAAACTTTATGTTTACAACTATTGCAAAATTAAGTTTGTTTTTCTTAAACCACTCTTAAAACATGACTTTAATTAAATCATTTATTTAACCGAAAATATTCCTTATGGTCTACATTGTCCAATAATTAAACAAATTCCAATAAGAGTCAGAGCAGTCGAAAATGTTAAAAATTCGAAACAAGGAATTATTAAATATTGGGTTGTTTCAATAGGTTTAATCATATCGAAGAATAACAATGCGACAAAGGTTGGATACTTATTGCGTAAATATGGCCAATTAAAACTTTTAATATACAATGTTATAGTTTTAATACATAATATGTTATGTATCCTTTTATGGAATAAGACTGACAACCATCAAACAAGCACACAGTCCAGCTGATGGTAAATGTATACTGTGGCCCATAGACATCTACATAAATCAATATATTGTTACTTGTTTCTAAAATTGACTTGTCTCAATTTTATTTCAGGCTTCCTAGATTCTACATATGCAGGTGGAAGAAGTTAAAATCATATCTGCCAGATTCTAGATTATCCTCGAGAAGATTTATTATTTAATATGGAGTAAGTTATAAGTTGAAAAAATGTGTAGTTCCCTAAAACAAGTGATGGATTTATAATAAGACTCACTGGGCACTTGCCCTAGGCAAGTGCCAGCGCAGACAGAGCATGGGATTATTAAGCTTCTAATAAAAAAATATATATTTCATTATGGAAAAAATGCATGTTACTAGTCAATCAAAGTAAAACTGAATCTCTCGCTATTACAAATGCACTAAATGCATTTAGATTTTAAATAAAACTAATTTTACAGTTTTATCACACTTAATTTAACTTTTGAAGTTAAATTAAACGCAATAAAATGCGTAAAATAGTTAATTTAAACGCGATAAATTCTGTAAAATTAGTTTCATTTAATGTGTAGATAGTATTCGTGTAAATATAAAAATCACAATGGATTTAGATTTGATTTACTGTGAAACATAATTCAAAGTAAAAAAGTTACTTTTTTTTAAATATAGCGATCCGCAAATTTGTATATGATGTCAATATTGTGTGTGTTTTGTTACATTTCTAGCGGCAGGCCTATGTTTAGTCGTGGACTTGTGAAGGGCTGTCATGGTTTTTTTTAAAAAACAAAGGTGACAAACTAGCACACCGATCACCTGATGATAAGTAGATACTATGGCCCATTGATATCTATATACATATATCCTCAGTTAAGAATAAAAATGCAAACGCGTCACCCCTGAAGACTAAGATGGAATGTCACGTTTCTATTATAAAGTTTTCGGTTCTCTACACTCACCATACGAAACACAGCAGCATAAAGATGCAACTTTACGCTGGTATTCTAAGAGACCGTGTTCCTTCCCCGGTCGAGCCGACCTATTCGTGTTACAACCATAATATTATAGCTGCAGCGTGGCTCTACCACGTTTCAAATTATGGAGTGTTGGATGGAATACGTAAATGGAACGAGGTTGTTACCTTGTAAAGAATAAAACATTTAATGGACATGTAAAGTCCGACAATAAACACAGCAGGACTTATTCCTGCCATGTGGCCCATGCCCAGTTGTGGGTTATTTGTAAGCCGTAAATAATTAACTAATCGTGTAGTAATATTTACCGTATAGTGGCAGCATGAGAGTACACTACCCCATATCCTCCCATGGATGTCATAAGGTTTGACAAAGAGAAAGAAACTGTATTAAGAAATTTGAAGCCGCATCTATATAATAATAATGCGGTTGCTAACACTGGTAGAAAAAAGAGATGAAGCTTTTAAAGTAATTATTTATTCCACAGTCTAGTTATTACCTTGAGACTGGATTGTTATTCACGTCAAAGTATGTGTAGTACAGTTGCTACTGCAGTAAATGCATCTTCTTCTTATTCATCAGTCCGAAAAATGCGGCTACTGGATATGAGCTTCTCCCATTCTAGGCAGGTATGCTTTAATCGTCGCTTTGCGAGTTGATCGACGATCGCAATACCGGAGGTCTTTCTTTTGACATTGTTCCTCGTTGCTGTTCTAGATGTTTTACGACTGCCGTACACAATATTTGGCATAGAAATAGAAAGAGAAACTTTTTTATTCAATATAGATTATAAATAATACTTATTGAAAGTCACTTTTTTAATTTAACTAACACATAGGTAGGGTTTGGGTCCCGGGACGTCTCGTGTCTCGAAGTTTTTTTTTTATATATAGGATAGGGTGACAAACGAGCACACAGTCCACCTGATGGTAAGTGGTTGCTGAGGCCCATAGACATCTACATCTATCCTCTATTACAAATCAAAATGTAGATGCGTTGTCACCCGTGAGGACTAAGATGGAATGCCTCTTTTCCAATAAAAAAAACGGCCTCCGGCCACCTGCACTCACCAAGCGAAACGCAGAGGTAACCCTCTACTTCACGCTGGTTTTCTGTGAGGTCGTGGTACCACCCCGGTTCGAGCCGGCCCATCCGTACGACAGCAAAAGCTGCCGCGTGGCTCTACCACTGTTAGAAAGTCCCGGGACTTCTCGTAATTTTAGTTGTCTCGAGTCCCGGGACTTTCGGGTCGAGACTCGAGACGAGACAAGATTGTCGAAATTGTTATGTAATCATTTTTATTTTCAAATAATTGAAGGAACATAGCGCCATGTGTTAGTTTAATGAATAATTACGTGGTCTACTACGTAACTACTGAGTACGCAACACAATAAATTAAACAAATATGTGATTATGAGAATTAACAATGACATTATGAACAATGATTAGATACTAAAATTACTAGATAATAATAAAGTTATTAAGAATTAGTATGATTTTTACTAAGTTCGTTTCATAACTATAAGATTTAATTGTTTAGAAGTGCATCTGTGTGGGACTAAAAAAAATAAACAAAGCAATTGGTGTGGCAAAAGCAAATTAGTGGACCTGATAGTATACCAGCTATAGTTCATAAGGTCTGTGCACCTGAATTGTCTCCTGTGTTGACACGCTTGTTCCGCCTCTCATTTAGGACTGGAATAGTGCCTGGATGTGCCATGGAGTACTGCTGTCACATATGGGCTGGTGTTGCAAAATGCCACCTGGCAGCATTGGACTTAGTGGAGAGGCGTGCTAAGAGGCTCATTGGTGACCTTGATTTGGTTGAAACCAATCTTGTCAGCCTCGAGCACAGGCGCAGTGTAGCCAGTCGCTCAGTATTCTATAGGATGCACTTCGGTGAGTGTGCGCAGGAATTACACGCTTTAAATCCTCCTTGGACTGAAATTAACTTTAAAGTTATTTAATTTTCTGTTTAATTGTTTAATCAATGTTGATTTTTACAAAAAAATTGCCTCTTTTTAATACGTTTCACCAGAAATTTATTCAATTAAATTCTTCAAAAAAGGCACTCGTCTTAAAAAAAAACAAAAAAGTTTTTTCTTAAAAGTCTCGAAGTCCCGGGAATTCCCGGGATTTTGATTAAAGCCTGTCCCGTGTCCCGGCACTTTGAAATTGTCGGGAATTCCCAAACCATACACATAGGCATCTCTTATGACGAAATGGTGTGATGGAATCTCTTACACTACCTTGTCATAGTCCAGTCATTTCTTTAACTGATTCAAACAAAAAAAACTACAAATTCTCTCTCACTCCCGGGGACTAAGATGAAATACTTCACATTTCAACGATTTTGATTTAGCGAGATAACAAAATTCATAAGCTTTTCTTTATTCATACATATGACAGTTACCTTCATTAGAATCGATTGTGTTCACCATGAAACATTAATCAGGAAAGTACAACACTACGGTGTAAGAAGTAATACTCTTAAATTAATTGTTTCATATTTAAGTAACAGCACGCAACAAGTTTTCATTAATAGAATGAACTCTTCCGGGTCGATAGTACAAATGGGCGTGCCTCAAGGCTCAATTCTCGGCACCTTTCTGTTTCTTGTATATATTAATGACTTACCTTACATAGTAGGGGATAACCATAATATTTGCTGATGACACTTCATTAATTCTCAAATTAAAACGGCAATTATTAAAATATGACGAAGTAAATAATGCTATATCTAAATTTGTTATTAACTTGCATTTAAATGGCACTAAATGTAAATGAATGAAATTCATGAATCCAAATGTCAAACAATTAAATACTAATGTAATTTTAAATGGGGAGGAAATGAGTCTTGTCGATAACACTTCAATGGAGCCCCCGTATATCAAAATTAGCTAGCTGACTTAGTTCTGAAGCATATGCTGTAAAAAATATTAGAAATCTTACCAGTGCGGAAACAGCTAGATTTGTTTACTTGAGCTTCTTCCATAGCATAATGGCATATGGTATTTTGCTATGGGAACACGCGACTGATACTAAAATTGTATTTATTTTATAGAAGAGGGTCAAAATATCAATCTATGATTTAAACTCTAGAGAGTCACTCTGACAAAATTTAAGGAAATTTTCCGTAGAATCTTAGGCAGTTTATTAATAACTGATATGCACATATGATATACATTCCGTTTATTTAAAGCTGTTCTACAAGATGGAATCATTATTTTAGTTGGATCTCTTGGTCTATATTTACTATGATCCCCCTTGAATTAAAAAAAATCGTTTTACTTCCTTACAAAGACTGATACCTCAAGAACATACACGCAGGACAATGTCAGTAAATTAAGTTTTTTAAATAGAGGTTTACAGGAGTCAAGTGGACTTGCTCCACAAATAGCTCTTAAATATTTCTTTTGTGCAATGAATACTTGATCAACATCAGTCGAATTCCCTCATATTATTAACCCATATCTAAGGAATGATTCTACATAGCCTTTATACGCTATACCTGCAGTCTTTTCATCTGATACGGTCCGAAGCTTTTTAAGGGCATAGGAAAATCTGTTTAGTTTGAGACACGCATCATTTACGTGTTGTTTCTAATTACAAAATCTGTCCAAAGTTGTACCCAAAAATTTTATGCTGTCAGCTTCTTCTATACTGTCATTTTCTATTTTTATGTTAATGTTATTATCAGGGCGTTTACTTTTATTCGTACCAAATTTCATGAATTTTGTTTTTGACAGATTTACATTTAATTTGTTTGCTTTTAGCCATCTTATAATACAGATTGTACCTCTTTACTTATTTTAATTTCGTGAGATGTATCTTGATCCTTATAGGGCACTATTATAGATATGTCGTCTGCGAATAGAACACTTTGACAATTTATTAGAATAGAATAGAATAGAATAGAATATTTTTTATTCAATATACATTACATGTGTAATTCTTATTGAAAGTCATTTTTTACTTTACCACTGGTTCGAAAAAACCCTCTGTCCTGGGAAGAACCAGCAAGAAACCCAGCGGGACTTTTTTTTTTAAAATAAATTTTACAATATAAATGATTACGAACTATTTACAAAATTTATTTTAGAAACTGCTTGGAAGCGATCACCTCATTCCCAGGGGTTATTATCAACCATGTATTCATTTATACTATAATAAACCTTTTTATACAGTTTCAGCTTAATAAAACATTTAAACTTGGTAATAGAGAGAACCTGTACACTTTCCGGGACCTTGTTGTAATAGCGTATACATTGCCCCAAGAATGAATTACTGACTCTGTGGAGTCGAGAAACTGGTATTACTAGCTTGTGTTTGTTCCTAGTGTTTACAGAATGTATATCACTTCTTTTACTAAAACTATCTTTGTTTTTGTGAACATACATTAAATTTTCGTAAATATACTGAGAGGCCAAAGTTAATATATTAATTTCTTTAAATTTATCTCTAAGGGACTCTCTCGGTTTTAGATTGTAAATAGCTCTAATGGCCCTCTTCTGTAAAACAAAAATAGTTTCTGAATCAGCCGCATTTCCCCATAGCAAAATCCCATAAGACATTATGCTATGAAAATAACTAAAATAAACTAATCTAGCTGTCTCGACACTAGTGAGACCTCTAATCTTTTTTACAGCATAGGCTGCAGAACTTAGTCTGCTTGCTAATTTGGATATATGGGGGCCCCACTGTAGCTTTGCGTCAAGAGTGATGCCAAGAAAAACAGTGGATACAACAGGGCTCAATTCCTCCCCATTTAAAAACACATTGGTATTAAGATTTTTAACATTCGTTGTTGTAAATTTAACACAATTAGTTTTATTTCCGTTCAAATGCAGATTATTAACGTTAAACCAATGCACTAATTTTGATATAGCATTATTCACTTCGTCACATTTAAATGATTGACGTTTAAGTTTAAAAATCAAGGAAGTATCATCAGCAAATAATACTATATCATGACTATCCCCTACAAGATGAGGTAAGTCATTAATATACACCAGAAACAGGAATGGGCCGAGAATCGAGCCCTGAGGAACACCCATTAGTACAGGTGATTAGTACAGGTACCCGGAAGAACTTTTACCATTGATAATAACCTTCTGTTTTCTATTACTTAAATATGAAATAATAAGTTTAAGCGCTGTGTTCTTGACACCATAGTACTGTAGCTTCCTGATTAATATCTCATGGTGAACACAGTCGAAGGCCTGTATTGAATCTGGTAAGTCATTAATGTACAATAAGAATAATAAGGGGCCTAATACACTGCATTCATGACTGTCATTTAAAGTAGTGATTTCAACATATTATTTACGATTGATTAGAAATTTTTTTATCCAGTCTAAAGCTACACCTCCAATGCCACATTTTTTGCATTTGGTAAGCAAAATCCCATGATCTACAAATCAAAAGCTTTACTCATATCAAAGAATATGGCTACCACCGGAATTTTCTCATCAATCCAGTTATACTTTTTATAAGAGAGAATGCTGCTAAAGAAGTTATTTATTGTGTTGAAAACCATTCTGTTCTTTTTTAATAATATTATGTTTATTAAGGAATTTAATTAACCTGTTGTAAAACACCCTTTCAAAAATTTTTGATATAATAGGTACAAGTGTAATAGGACGATAATTATTAGGTTCCTTTATTGTACAATGTTTTAATAATAGAGTGTTTTAATTTATCTAGAAATATTCCTTGAATCAAGGAATTTGTGATTATATGGTTAAGAATGGGCGCAATGACACGAGCACTTGCTTTAATTATTTCTGTAGATATAGAGTCATACCCCACAGCTTTGGTATTATTTAATGATTTAATTATATTTGTAATTTCAAGCTCTGAAGTAGGTATCAAGAATATTGATTTATCATTAACATCTATTGATATTTTTTGATATTGTTCGTTTGGCGCATGTAAATTATTTCCATTATTAATATTAATAAAAAAGTCATTAAAAAAGTTGCTATTTGGAGAGGATTGTGAATAATATGAATAATATATACCGTCGTTTTGTATTGATTTCACGCTGTTAATCGAGTTGATACTATTATTTTTATCTTTGGAACGTATGTTCCAAGTGGCTTTTCCTTTATTTTTTGCTCGCTTAAGATGTTTTGAAGAATTACTTGCTATGAGATCTATACAGCTATTTTGTCGTGTTGGCTCGTTTATATGTAAAGTTAAATTAAAATTTGAGAGGATATTTTTAAGGTGATTGTATTTTTATTATTTAATAGTATATTAATGTTTAAATCACCTGTTAATATGAGTTTTTTATTTATAATTTTTAATCTTAATTTATGTAACAGTATTTCCAATTTATTAAAAAATGAATTAATGTTATATGTAGGTGTTCTGTATAAACATATTACTACTGTATTTAAACTGGGGATTTCTATACCGCAACATTCAAATATATTATCACAAGAGCATTCGTTACATATTTCTATTGGCTTGCAATCAATGCAATATGTTAGAATGCACGTACTACCACGCTTTTGTGTTTTCCTAGAATAGTAACTGCCCATTGTATATCCCTTAATAGTAATATGTGACTCATCCCCTCTTTTTATAAAAGTTTCACTAAAGCATAAAATCTGCACTGGATAGTTATTTTTGGAAAGGTCAATTAGACATAGTTCAATGGTGTCAATTCTGTTTAAAATACCTGCTATGTTTTGATGGAGTAGTCTTATTTTTTTTACCTGCTTTTAATTTTAATTCCCGTGGCTTACTCATAAAAAATTCTTATTGTTAAATATTTTAGATGAAGTAGTTGAATTACGTTTAGTAGTACTAGTTACTCGATTTCAACAAGTCAGTAATTCATTGTCAACAAATCTGACCTCAAATTTGATCTGCTCAAAGTTCAAAAACTTTATTAAACAAAGAGTTATTATAATATTGAGGAATTTATGGACGATAATAATCTTTGGGAATGAGGTGATCGCTACCAAGCTATTTCTAATTTGTATTGTGTGGTTAATTTTGTAACATACATGATTGTAAGCTGTTATTTAAAAAAAAGTCCCGCTGGGTTTCTTGCTGGTTCTTCCTAGGACAGATATTTTTTAACGAACCAGTGGTAATTAAACAAAAGAGTGACTTTGAATAAGTATTATTTATAATCTGTATTGAATAAAAAGTTTCTGTTTCTGTTTCTGCTATTTTGCAACAGGTTTTTGGGTTTTTTATTTATTTTGAACTGGAACGGGTGGAACAGGTATGCGATTTTACCTATAACAGCCCACTCCTAGCACGATGTTTGTTAGAGGACAGTTTGAACCGTGCCCATTTTTTAATTTAACATTTTTTTTATTTAACCTTTTTATATTTTCAGAGATATAAATAATTACGCCTACTACCGACTTTTTGGCTACATCACTGCGGTTTCTTCACATCTAGGCAATGGAATTTTGATATTTTTTACATTGCAAAACACTACCGTGAAGGATCCTGAGCTAGAAACATTATATTCCATACTGTGGGCGTACCTCACCATTTGGAATGTGGTAGGTTAAAATCTACGTATAAGCATTTTTAATCTTCCTTTTGAATCTATGTATGATATAACATACATCATCATCATCACCATCATTACAGCACAGCACAAGTCCACTGCTGAACATAGGCCTCCCCAAGAAACGCCACAAAGCATGGTGCCGAGCCACCTGTATCCATCGAACTCCTGCACGTCTTAATAGATTGTTACTCCATATAGTGGGGGGACGCCCTACTCTTCGCCTGCCGGTATGCGGCTGTTGAACAATTTAGTTTTGAGGTTTTGAGGTATGTCTAACGAGATGTGTCGTAATCTCCCGAACGCTGACCAGCCGAGTTGAATCAGTCGATTGACCTCTAGGTCAAAGATGGACTTACCTAAACATTTACCTAGTCGGTCTATTTGGTATATTCACAGGTGGTGGCATGAATGGAGGACTTTTTATGGCCAGTGTGCCTATTATTTCGACGTGTGCCTAAACCATGTGACCATCACTGTGGCTGGAATTGATCGTATTCTGTATGGCGTTTACACGCATTGCCATGCGCGAATTCGGCGGATGTTTGTGCTTACTTACTACCGAGGGCTAAGCCCTCTTTTACTAGTTCGCCAGCTTTTTTGCTGTGGACTACGGGCCAGTTCCCAACTTGTCCCTGGTAAACATACTTGCAACAACTTCGAGCTTAGTGCTCCCAACAACTACCGGCTTAGGTGTTACATGGACGTTAAACATGATTTTTGATTTGTCCATGTTCATCTTAAGACCTATCCGTTGGTAGACACTATTGAGGTCATTGAGCATAGTGCTTAGGTGCTCCAGCGATTCTGCCATAAGGACTATATCGTCGGCAAATTGAAGGTGAGTAATGTACTTGCCATTGACATTATTCCTTTCCAGTCCACTAGCTTGAAAACGTCACCCTGTCTTACACCACTCTGCAGTTGGATAAGTTTTGTGCTCTGGTTCTATACTCGGCTAGCCATCGTAGCCCTACTGTAAAAAATTTCAGCACTTCGATATACCAACAGTCCACTTGGTACCGCTGGAGTGACTGCAGGACCGCCCCAATTCAAAAAATTCACGAAATTAAAGGCATTCTCATAGTCCACATACGCAACACAAAGTAGCAGATTGTACACTTCGGTCTTCTGTACAATTTTCTGAAGGATATGTATGTGCTATATGGTGCTAAAGCCTTTTCGAATACTGACTTGTTCGGTAGGTAGGAAGTCGTCGAGTCTGCATGAGAGATGATTCGTAATGACTCTCGAAAACAGCACGTAGACGCGGCTCAGAAGGGAAATCGGTCTGTAGTTCTTCAAGAACAAGACCACCGGACTTCTGTTACACACCTCCGGAGTAGTACCTCCATGAAGGACGGAATTACAAAGCTTCTGAAGGACTACAAGTACCGGTTTTCCACCCGCTTTAAGAAGCTCTGCTGTAATTCCATCCTTGCCCGAGGACTTTCCGTTTTTAAGGTGTTGGAGAGCCATTCTAATCTCGCTCAGACGTCCGGGATATCATCGGAATAGTGTCGGATAAGACTCGCTCTTGGATCGTTACTCACACTTACGTGTGGCTCCAACGATGTTATGTACAGCTGCCCATAGAACCTCTCAATCTCACTCAAAATCTCAGGTGTCCCGGAAACTTTGCTGTCACACTCGGTCTTCAGCTTCGACAGGTGGCTCTTTCATGCAGACAGATCTCTAGCAAAGACTTTGGAGCCCTAGTTCCGCTCGATCGCTTCTTCAATACGAGCAGTATTAAAGTTGCGTAAGTCCCACCGTATGCATTCGGAGATCTGTGTTATCAGTTGCCTGTGTGCTATCAAATCTACTGAAGACTGCAGCTTCATTTCCCATATAACAGCCATGAGATTATGAGTGTGATCGAAGAGTTTTTGTGTTCTTCTGCGGCGGGTCTTGCAAAACTTAGCTCCGACCGCATGGACAGTTTCCACGAGTTTGTTTTTTATATCGTCTACTACATTGCAATCTTTTAGTACCACTTAGAAAAGTGCCACCCTGGAGGACAGAATTAAAGTGCTTCTGAAGTGATTCAAATACCAGTTTGCCATCCGCTTTCAGAAGCTCCGCTGTAATTCCATATTTGCCCCGGGGACTTGCCGTTTTTAAGGTGCCGGAGAGTCATTCTAATCTCGCTCAGATTGACGTCCGGGATATCATCGAAATGGTGTCAGATAAGACTTGCTCTTCGATCATTACTCACACTTGCGTGTGGCTCCAACGATGACTTGTACAGCTGCCCATAGAACCTCTTAATCTCACTCAAAACCTCAGGTGTCCCGGAAACGATGCTGCCACATTTGGTCTTCAGCTTCGACAGCTCGCTCTTTCTGGCAAAGACTTTGGAGCCCTGGTTCCGTTCCATCGTTTCTTCAATATGAACTGTATTGAAGTTGCTAAAGTCCCGCCGCATGTATTTGGAGATCTCTCTGTTCCTTAACCTGTATGCTGTCAAATCTGCTGAAGACTGCAGCTTCTCAGTCTTATTCTTGAGATTAATATTGTGATCGGAAAGATTTTATGTTCTTCTGCGACGGGTCTTACAGAACTTAGCTCCGGCCGCATGGACAGTTTCCTCAAGCTTGTCAAAACAAAATATATTCACGTGCTAGTTGAATGCATTTTGTTTGCCGATACTTATCCTTTTCTTCATAAATAGTCTAACTTGGTTGAAACCACCATCTTATCTATTACTATCGCCAAATATTACTGTTTGCTCTGATACGTTCCGGTCCAAAGGCTATAGAGGGCCAGTATGATTCCAGGCTATTAGACATTCCATCTTAGTCATATGAAATCACAACACTCCTTTATCCTTCTTTGTTTGAAGTTGGCTGCAAGTGTCCTTGGACTGCAGAAAGTTCGATCGTCGATAGTATTAAATTAACAATTGGTTGGGTAATTGCCATAGAAAAAAAATATTTTAATTAAGAAGATTAATACTTCTGTAATATAAATTATTGGATAAATAATAAAAAGTTTAAGTGTAATAATATTGCTCAGTGTACGCTTACATGGTGTGATCACTTTATCCATTGCATAAGTTTTACAGTTTAGGTTAAAAGGGTTTTTAATACACGTCTTTGCCGCGTACATGTCCTTGTAGTAATCATTATTAATTAACCAAATAAATTAGTATAATATAGTTTGTTATCTACTAGTTTTTTGTATTCACCACCATCCTAACTGTACATATTTTGGTCTTTCGAGCCGGATACACTTTGCATAGATTTTTATTATATAAAAATATACAAATAGGATGTTTATTTCAGTCCCCAAAACTATGACGTCCTTATCGTTGTACCGTTAGGTTCTTCAGAAGTAGGTGGTTTCATTAAATAGTCAAGGTTTGTAGTTAATGATTTTTATTTATTTTACTTCCGCCCACGTACAAAGTGAGGTTCTAAGAAAGGGATTACAGGCCTGACGTAGGGGGTGAAATCCAAGCGCTGTTTCTTCAAGGTCGTAGACATCCAGCTAGCAGAAGAAGCCAATGATACCCAAGCCCGACGGTGATGACGGCCGTTGGTAGGATAGTAGGCCAACACTTCGTTAGCTCGTGGCACGGCAAGCAAGTAGGCCTTAGGTGGTAGGTGAATCCTGGAATCCCAAATGGAGGCCAGCATTAGGGACCAATAGCACTATATGCGCCCTAGTAAAATTCCAGCACCTCTTCTAGGAAGTTAAAATTCCTAAGCACTAAGCAGCCTCAGCAAAATAGATAGGAATTAAGCAGAATAGTTACAATGTTTTCTATTGTTAAATAAATAAGAACTCACCCCAGGGGGATCAACTGCACTTTGAATAATTTAAATTTTGAATGTAGGTAAGCAAGCTCAACAGTCGTTCGTTTAGGCTCACGCGCGTTGCGAACTTCAAGCAGTCAAGTGTTTAAATAAATATGAATATCAACTGGGCTTTTCTCTACAGCTCTAACACCTTTTTAGCTAGCTTAAAATGGAGCTCCATTACCTTTTTCCCAATATTTATAGGACACGGGTCGTGTTCTTCATTCATCTCCCAAACATTTCTTATTCTAAAATAAGTCTTTAAATATATTACATGTTTTGTTTCAGGTTTTTCAAATAATATACTCGTGTCTAGGAATCTTATGCGATTTGCCAACATCACTCGAGGCTAAGGAAACGACTCTCGCAAAAAACCTAAAATCTTATCGTGAATGGATGTTCACTAGTATTATTTTACCACTCTGTTTTGTGAGTTTCTATTTCGTATCTATTCCATATCGTTTTCTACATCAATTACAGATTTTAAAGTTGTAACTTTTATTCCAATAAAAAAGCTAAAACAACCTCTATAACATTTATTAGCTTCATATTCTCTCGAAAATGGGAGGAGGGTGTCTAGCAGTAGGATGATTATAGGCTGATACTTTTCATTATGTAATAACTTATACTATTATACGTTTTCAGATGGTATTTATCATATTTTGGATATTTTATATATATGACAGAGAATTGATATTTCCGGCATCTATTGACAAAGTTCTAAGGAAAGAATCCAACCATTTATTGCATACTGCTATTCTCCCAATAGTTCTCTGGGAATTTGTTTTCCTACCCAAAACTGAACCTATATCGCATAAGTGGAATTTAGCTGGCGCTTACGGATGCTATATGACTTATTTATATGTGTAAGTATGATAATTATTATTTCAGTAATTTAAAAATCTTAATTCTTAAATTAAAGAATATCAGTAAATTAAATAATTTTGGGCACTTTATCCGCCGCCAAACAGTAGTGTACGGCGAATCCATTGTTATGTTCTAATTTAATAAGCAAGAAAGCTGGTGTGATTATATGCTTTAAGGAATACCATACACTTAAGTAGCTCAAAGACTAAGCGATCGCTGTAAATTTCACAGTACGCGAGCAACCCGGATTCGATCTCCTCCGACACAAGTTAATTGCAGTTATAAGTGCTGATTTACATATTTGGCGGTAAAGGAAAACATCTTGGGGAAACCAGATGGCTGAAATTTTTTAAATATTTTGAAGACACATGATATCTGCTAGTGTATTGGGGCATCACGACAGACTCTTACCTGCTTCAAACCTTTTCAGAAATAAGAGAAGGCTCATCTGGTAGTGGAATGTAGGTCAGCTGTAGTTTAACTTTATAGCCGACTTAAAAAAAGAAGAGGTCTACAATTCGACTCGATATTATATTTTATTAGTATATATGTTAAGCGATTTCTTGGTCTATTGTGAATGGATTTTGATGTTTCGTTTTTATTAAATAGGTCATAATTCAGGAGGAAAATAAATATATATATATATATATATATATATATATATATTTATTTTACTCCTGAATTATTAAATTTAAAATTTATTATTGAGATATAAAATTTGGAGTAAAAATTCTACCCCTATTGGTGTCATAATAATGGATGAAATTTTTCATGTAACTATTTAAATGACATGATTGACAACTCAATGATAAAAAATAACTTTTAATAAGAGGTAAAAGAACGGAAAACAATAAAATAATTTCACATTGAGAGGTCAAGAGGCTTTAATTATTTTTACTTTATGTTTTAGTATTCAAATTCTCTCTCAAAAACGTTTTTAGTTTTTATACTAGCACAAACGCAACAAAATTCGCAAATAATCATACTATAATCTAAAATAATACATCTAACCTCGACTAAGAATCAAAATGCAGATGCGTTACCACTCGTAAGGACTAAGATGGAATGCCTACTTTCCAGTAAAATGGGTCTCCGGGGATGATTTTTTATGTTTATTATACCTACAATAAATATAAAAACATCATTTATTTATTCCTGTTATTTTTGTGGCATTATTTTTCATTAGTGGCCTGCACTGTTCTAGGTGCCACTTCCAGAAAAAAATGCTTGTGGCCGCTAGCCGCCACTTGTAGATTTAATATCATACGTACTCCTTGTTTATTATGTATTCCTTATTTAACTAGAGTTACGTTTTTTTTTTCCAGATTATTATCAACATTCGCTCGCCGTGGTATATGGCCTTATCCCATTTTAAAAATTTGTTATGGATCCATATACTTCCCAATGATAATCATAGTTACTGCCATAATGTTGTATTTCATTTACTACGGTCAATGGTACATTAACGCATTACTGCGGGGGACTAATGTTACGTCAAAAGAGAAAGTCTGTTGAGGGTATTAGGTGTGACTTAAATATAACTATTAAAAAAATCTGTTGATTTTATTTCCCAAATTAATCTGACCATCACTCCAGCGCAAATTAGATTCTTCTATCTTCGTTAAAAAATAGTTTAAAAGTTATTGTAAATATTTGTACGCCCGGACAAATAAGCAACTATTAACTGTAAATAGATTCCAAATTCCATATATGTTATAATAGTGAAGGTTTTTTTTATAGGACAGGGTGACAAACGATCACACAGTCCACCTGATGGTAAGTGGTTGCTGTGGCCCATAGACATCTACAGTTATCCTTGTTTACGAAACAAAATGCAGATGCGTTGTCACCCGTGAGGACTAAGATGGAATACCTCTCTTCCAGTAAAAAGGTTCTCCGGTTCTATACACTCACCTGAAACACAACAGTTTTAAACTGCTATTTTACGCTGATATTCTGTGAGAGCGTGGTCCTTCCCCGGTCGAGCCGCCCATTCGTGCTACAACTATACTAATTTAGCTGCTGCATTTTAGTTTTTACTAATTCAGCTTCCCCGTATACAAAAATTACCGGCTTTTTGATCTCACGACCCTGAAAAACCGTAGGGCGTTAATGGAATGGTGCTTGTTATTTTATTTACTGCATGGACGGTCTAACTGTTCGTTTTATTTTTCCTCTATGGCAACCCCGGTAACAAGTAAATAAATAATTTGCTCCCAATTAATTTCGTAAAAATAAATATTGTAATTGATAGCTTCCACCTCAAATTTAAGTTATAGTTGTTAACTACGAACAAATTGTATTGTACGTTTGTAAAATTGTAAATATTTGTATATGTGTATATGCAATAAAACATATTTTTTATTTAAACAAACTACTTTCAGATGTGATTCATAATTATTATAATTATTCATAATTATTTATTCATTATAAACATGTCGCTTGAGGAAGGTACTTTCCCTGAAATTAAAAAAAAATCAATTGCTAAGCCCTTATTTAAGAAGGGAGAGGCTACCGACATGAATAATTATCGTCCAATCACTTTAATACCAGTTTTATCTAAAATATTTGAAAAGGTAAAGATGAAAAGACTTTACGACTATGTTACAGATCAAAATATTATTAAACATGAGCACACACAAACACTCATGCCTGTCACCCAGAGGGGTAGGCAGAAACTACGGACTTCCATTTGGCACGATCCTGGCACACCTCTCTCGCCTCCTTTACATCCATATATCTACACATACACGCACGTTGGTTAAGGGTACTCCTAATCTGGCCCATTTTCAATATATCGCCGATTTGGTCGATAAACCTTCGTCTAGGGCGTCCCTTCCCGACTCTGCCGTTCACTTCTGCAACATAAATTTTCTTTGTCACTCTTTTCTCGTTCATTCTATCTACATGACCAAAAATACCGAAGCATTCCTTTCTTAATCCTGGTCACAACGTCATCTTGTAAACCACACTTTTCTCTTATCACACTGTTTCTCACCGTGTCATTCAGATTCAGCCCTAGCATACTCCTTAATGACCGCATTTCTATAGCATTTATTCTACTCTCATGCTTCTTCTGCCAGACCCAACTTTCACTACCATACATTAAAGTAGGGACTAACACAGCATTATAAATTGCCATACGTGCCTTATTTGACACATTCTGACTCTTCATAATAGCGTGTAGAGCCCCATTCATTCTATTTCCTGCGTTCACTCGTCGTCCTATATCCTTATCATATCTACCATACCTGCAAAATAAACATCCCAAATATACAAATTCATCCACTTGCTCAATCAACTCCCCATCTTTTCTTATTTCACATAACGTTTTACTTTCTTCTCTTTTAAAAGCCATCACTTTCGTCTTACTTGCGTTCACTTTCATACCCCTTTCTTTTAATGACCAGTTCATTAAAGTAACCATCATTTGCAACTCAGCCGCCAACGATACAAATATAACTTGATCATCGGCGTACAAAATGCATTTGACGGTTAACTCATACATTCTCAACCCACAATCTTCAACTTTCAAAGTTTGCAAACAACTGTCCATAAATAGGTTAAACAGCCACGGGGAAGCTACATAGCCATGTTTGACACATTTTTGAATCCCAAACCAGTACGAGTAGACCCTGTTCATGCTGACATAAGCACTAGAGTCCCAATAAAGAGACCATAATGCCTGTATCAAGCCAGCGCTCAACCCAAATGAGTTCAGTGTTTACCATAACACGTTCCTGTCCACTCTGTCATAAGCCTTTTCCAAGTCCATGAACGCGCAAAAAACTTTCTGGTTTTTGACAGTGCAACGCTCCACAACAATACATTTGGCTGATGATTCTGTCACATCAAGAACATCAGAAAGGATTACTGGCAGCAGAAGAAAATTAACAAAATTTATAAAAATCAATAAATATATTAGAACAGGGGATGAGTCACTCGCGTCCGTAGGCTTCGACCACCTAATCCTAGGCCCACCCTACACGTGTCCCCCGGGTGGTGCTAAACGAGCGACAAAGCCCAAAGAACTGACTCGGCTCCTCGCCGTGTGGTAGCGGCGTAAAAAATACCACAACTTACTTTCGCATCATGAGGCATAAAATTAATGAAATGGCCCCGAGTTCCCGGCGCCCCTTTAATGGGGCAGGGGTGCGAAGAATCTCCGGGAGGAAAACCGGCGACGAGGTTCGCCACCCGTCACGCTCTGTCCCCCGGAGGGGCGAAAAGTGGATTGCGGAAGCCCGTCTGGCTACATTGAATGTATGTGGAGGAATGAATGATAAGATAGATGAAGTATGCGATATCATGTATGATAGAGGAATAGACGTGTTATGTGTAAATGAGACGAAACGAAAAGGAAAGGATGCCACTACACATGGCATGTATACCGCGTACTGGTCTGGTGTAGACGAAACCGAGCGGGCATGCCAGGGAGTCGGTATCATCCTTTCAGAAAGAATGGGTCATTGCGTGAAAGAGTATGAATGTGTAAGCCCGAGACTGCTATGGATACGAATGAAAGTGGGCTTAAAGAAGTTGTTTGTTTTAGGGGTCTACGCACCAGACATCTCTAAGCCCACTTATATCCGAGAGCAGTTTTGGGAGTTGGTAAGGATGGTGCTAATGAAATGCAAGGTTAATGAAAATATTGTGATATTAGGCGATTTTAATGGAAGGGTTGGGGTGAGGAGGCTTGGTTATGAAAGGATATTGGGAACGTATGGTGATGAAAGTATAAATGAAAATGGTGAAAGCCTTCTCGCCGTATGCGTGGAAAAGAATCTTGTTGTGACGAACACTTTCTTTCGTCATAAGAAGATTCACACGTATACATGGGAAATAGGTGATGATAGAAGTATGATAGATTTCATAATTGTTGATGAAAGAATGAGGAGCGCGGTGGTAGATACAAGGGTTTACCGGGGCTCTAACGTAGGGACGGATCATTACTTGGTCTTATGCCGAATTAATGGTCTTTTCAGACGTTGGAGGCATCGGACATCTGTGTCTACCACTGCGTTACAGCGTATAAGAACAGAGAGTTTACAAGATAAAGGTGTGAAAGAGAAGTTCAAATGTAGATTGAGAGAAAATGTAAGTGGTATGGCTGAATTGTGTATGAATGATTTAGACTTGGAGACTGTGTGGTATAATGTCAAGAAAGGTTTAGTGGATGCAGCTACCGAAGTATGTGGTGTAAGTAAGAGAACGATTGAAAGGAAAAATAACACGTTATGGTGGAATGATGAGGTACGAATGGAAGTTGAAGCAAAGAAGAAAGCATGGCTAGATTTACTAGCAACCAAGGCTAGTAATTCTAGCAGTATGAATGATGATATTGAAAGGAAAAAGGCAGTTTTTAGACACCTAAATAAGAGAGTAAAAGAAGTAGTTGAAAGGAAAAAGCAAGAAAGAACGGATAAGAATGATAGAAGAATATCGTAAGAACTACCAAGGGACATTCACAACAGCCTAGAATGAATGCTATATGAGACCAGAATGGCTGTATCCTGAATGACTGATGAATGAAGTTTTGAGTTTAAGGAGATAGGAGGAATACTTTGAAAGCGTGTTTATGAGTGATGAGACGTTTGAATTAAATGAAATAGAAATTCCGAAAGAAGAGGAAATAGATAGAGATATAAGTATAGATGAAATAATAAAAGCAATGAAAAGTATGAAAGCAGGTAAGGCAGCCGGTTATGATAGAGTATCTCTCGAAATGCTAAGGGCTGGAGAAGGAGTGATGGCAGACCTGCTGTACACCTTGTTTAATTTATGTTGGGAACTTAAGCGAGTACCGGGAGACTGGTGCAAAGCCGTGATAGTCCCAATATATAAGGGAAAAGGATCACAGCAGGACTGTAAAAACTACCGTGGTATCAGCCTTCTTAGCATTGTGGGAAAACTGTATGCTAAGGTACTAATTGAAAGAGTTATGAAAGAAACTGAAGGAAAAAATTGGGATGTGCAAGCGGGATTTAGAAAGGGAATGGGATGTACGGATCAGGTCTTTTCCATGCGCATGATCGCGGAGAAGTTTTTGGCCAAAAACCAAAAAGTTTTTTGTGCGTTCATAGACTTGGAGAAGGCTTATGACAGAGTGGACAGGGATGTGTTATGGCAAACACTGAACTCATTTGGGTTGACCGCTGGTCTGATACAGGCATTGAAGTCTCTATATAGGGACTCTAGTGCTTGTGTCAGGATCAACGGGGCCTACTCGGACTGGTTTGGTATCCATAAAGGTGTCAGACAGGGCTGTGTGGCTTGTTCTGTGGCTTGTGTTGTCCCGTGGATGTTCAACCTATTTATGGACAGTTGTTTGGAAAATTTGAAAGTAGAAGAATGCGGGTTAAGAATGGGTGAGTTAACCGTCAAATGCCTTTTGTACGCCGATGATCAAGTCATACTTGCATCGTCGGCAGCCGAGTTGCAAATGATGGTTACATTAATGAACAGGACATTAAAAGAAAAGGGAATGAAAGTGAACGCAAGTAAGACGAAAGTTATGGTTTTGAAAGAGAAGAAAGTAAAACGATATGTGAAATAAGAATAGAAGGGGAGTTGGTAGAGCAAGTAGATGAGTTTGTATATTAGCAGGGATGGTAGATATGATAAGGATATAGAACGACGAGTGAATGCAGGAAATAGAGTGACTGGGGCTCTACACTCTATTGTGAAAAGTCAGAATGTGTCCAAAAAGGCACGTATGGCAATTCACAATGCTGTGTTAGTACCTACTTTAATGTATGGTAGTGAAAGTTGGGTGTGGCAGAAGAAGCATGAGAGTAGAATAAATGCTGTAGAAATGCGGTCATTAGGGAGTATGTTAGGGATGAAGCTGAATGACAGAGTGAGAAATTGTTTAATAAGAGAAGAGTGTGGTTTGCAAGATGATGTTGTGACCAGGATTAAGAAAGGAATGCTTCGGTGGTTTGGCCATGTAGAAAGAATGAATGAGAAAAGAGTGACAAAGCAAATGTATGTTGCAGAGGTGAACGGCATAGTCGGGAAGGCGATGGAAGGAAAGGATGGCGAATGGCGATATATTAAAAATGGGCCATATCAAGAGTACCTTTAACCGACGAGCGTATATGCGTAGGTATATGGATGTGGAGGAAGCGAGAGAGGTGTGTCAGGATCGTGCCAAATGGAAGTCCATAATCTCTGCCTACCCCTCTGGGTGACAGGCGTGAGTGTTTATGTATGTAAAAGCGCAAAATTAGTTAAAACTAAAATTAATACATAAAATTATATAAATGTATGTAAGGAAAAGCAAGAGTTAATTAGTAAACTTAAATTATATTCAATTGCAGTGGAAGACATGAAAAATTGTTATGAGACTGTAATAGTGTCTT